TTTGAATTTTCAGCAAATATGTGTGCATACAGCAAGGTAGGGAATACTCAACATCAAAATTTGGGGCGGGGCGGCACAGGGGATGGTTTCAGGCAGTAGGGTTTTTTTCAGACTTAGCATCCACCATTGCACTAGAAAACTGACACCCCTCTCTCCCAGACCCTCCAAGTGTCCCTAATCTCCAGGGACGTCCTGATTTAGAGAAGCTGTCCCAGTTTCTGATTTGATCCCTGGAATGTCCCGCCTTTCCTTAGAATCATAGAATAGAATCATAGAATCATAGAGTTGGAATAGACCACAAGGGCCATCGAGTCCAACCCCCTGCCAAGCAGGAAACACCATCAGAGCACTCCTGACATATGGTTGTCAAGCCTCTGCTTAGGATGTCCCTAATTTCACTGAAGAAATGTTGGAGGGTATGGAGTTATTTGACCCCCGAGCCATCTGAAGGCAGCCCTGTATAGAGATTTTTTTTTAAAAAAAATGTTTAATGTTTCATTATGTTTTTATATATGTTGGAAGCTGCCCAGAGTGGCCGGGGCAACCCAGTAAGATGTGTGGGGTATAAATAGTAAAATGGTCATTCTGGAATGGGACATCCCTATTTGCATTGGAGAAATGTTGGAGGGTATGCCCTCTCCACCCTGATCGCACATAATTTGGTGATAAAACCATCAGTGCCATTTGTATGAAGGAGAAATGGTGGCCCTTCAGACTCCAGCTCCCATCAGCTGCAGTCAGTATGGCCAGTGGGAATGGATAATGGGAACTGCAGTCCAACAGCATCAGAAGTGCTGCATTCATTCATCATACCATAATCTCTGGTTAACAAGGGGTTGAGGTTTGCGATAGCTCAGAAACCTTTCAAGACCTGTACAACCACTACCAATGGGACAAAAGAAACTGGCATAGTATGCGCAGCAATGTTTCTATAACGACAGCTTCCACTCTCTCAAAAAGTGCTAACATCAGCCCTAGGTGAAGCCTGATCTTTAAAGAAGTTTATGCAAGACGCAGGGCCACCTGCATTTAAAGCACAACCATATCACTTTCAACAGTCGTGTCTTCCCTGCAAATATCCCGGGAGCTGTAGTTTGTAAAGGGTGCTGAGAGTTGGGACTCCCAATCCCCCCCAGAACTACAGTTCCCAGAGTTCCCTGTCTACAAAACCCAGGCTCTCTAGGGTCTTCTTCTCTCAGCACCCCCTTAACAAACCACAATTTTTGGGATTCTTTGGAGGAAGCCAAGACTGTTTAAAGTGGTATGATACAGCTTTAAATGTGTCGTCCAGAAGAGGCCACTGTATTAAAATGAAACGGAATAAAATGAAAATGTCATCTTTTGTTTGTATAGTAACTATAACATCAGCAAAATGGGGAGGGCGGGGGGGGGGCAACACACAAGTTGTTTGGGAATGGAGGTGGTGTTAATTTGGCTAAAAGATCCAGGTTTTTGGCTTGTTTTCACCAGGGAAAGATTAGTTTGTAATTCTTGAATTGTAATTATTAGATAGTTTCCCTCTATTTTCAGCTTAGTACAGAGACCTAAATGAGATTAATTTCACCCTTCATTTCACTTCATAGATTGCTTCATGATCCAAATGTCCTATGTAATAATGAGTTTAAAGCTCAGATTTCCAGGGGTGTAGAGCGAGAATTTTGGACCGACGGTCACTGTGCCCACGGGGTTTCTGTGTGGGGCCACACAGCAGCTAGAATCTTGTACAAACTTGGGCATGAGTTTTGAGGTACACTTATATTTAAAGTTTGGTCTCTGCAGTTTCTACTATAATAAATGATGGCAAACTATGGAGGTTAAGAATCATGGTTTTCAAAATGCCTTTTGCTCCAACGCCATAGAGAATACAACACTTCACTCTTCGGGATTGGTCCATGGTTGGTGAGAAAAATCATGTCTCTTATCCTGCATGTTTTATGGGAATAAGCATCAAACCCCATTGCCTAACAAACCCCTTTTGAGATGCGAAGGAGAAGCTCGCAGGCATCCTACAAACGGAATTGCCAATTCTATCCCAGCGCAGAAGCAATATGTAGATTGCAAACCTCTTTTTGATTCTGTATCGCTTTTAACTGTCCTGGTTCCCCCACAAAGAACCTTTGGGAATTGTAGACTTGTAAAGTGAAGAAAATCATCTGCAGCAACAGCTAGCTGTACACCATAGAGTAGCTATGACCCAAAGGAATTCCCTCTCCCTCTACAGCTGCTCCCAGACATGCAAATATCAAAAGTTAGGGCTTAGTTGAAACAGGAATGCTTTGCGCGACAGTTTTATTGCCCTCTCCTCAAAGCACTACTTTCCCAATGAACGTTTGGGGAGATCTTTGTGTGTGATTCCTCCCACCCACCCTATGGGGGCAGACTGAAGGCAGAACAAATCTCCGCCCCCCAGCTCAAAATGGGTACCCTCTTTATCCCCCTTCCCTTAGTGTGCCACTTCGTAGCACCAATCGGCTGCACCGCTGGCACCGGTTCATTCTTCAAGCCAGCTTTTTCTGTCCTAACACCAATGACCATGTCCTGTAGCCAATCATACTGGGCCACACAATGAGGTCACCGACACCATCAAATGCTATCAGCGCCGCGTGAGTTGCCCTCCTGCTGAATGATGCTCTGGGACATCACACAGCCCAAATCTGATTTGCTCCGTGATGGCGCAACACTTTGGTTAGGAAAGAAGAGTAACCTTGAGACAAAAAATGGCAGCCAATCAGCAGTTGATTGGGGCTGGGAACACTAGGAGTAGGAAAGAAGGCAAAAAGAGAGAGCTCTCACTCCCCCTTTTTTTCTTGCAGGATAAACACTACCATGAAGCCAAGTGAAGTGACTGTCTTAGGCAGCTGGTTTTGGGTGAGCTAGCCATTTAATTCATTGTTATGCCAGGGAGGGGAAAAGGCTCTGGGTTTTTCAGTTCCAGGTACCAAAATAAATCAACTGGCCTCGCACATTACACACCATGCTCATCCACCTGTCTATTTCTCCTATGTCTGGAAAGCACGGGCCTGGTGAGTTTTCTGCTTCTCCCACCCACACTTTCTGTGCATGTGTCCGAGTGGTTTTGCCTTTGCCCTGCTGCTTTCCCCCCGGAAAACCCACTCTTTAGCGATAAATAGGAAGAAACGGTGATCCTCAGAAAACCCGATTGCCGTTTGTTCCAATTCGGCACAAAATACTGGGTTTTCTTGTGGGAAAGCGGTGGGGCAAATGGAGGAGAAAAGGGAGACCTGTGGGTATAGGGCAGTAATAATAATAATAATAATAATAATAATAATAATAATAATAATAATTTATTATTTGTACCCCGCCCATCTGGCTGGGTTTCCCCAGCCACTCTGGGCGGCTTCCAACAAAGATAAAAAATACACTAAAATGTCACATATTAAAAACTTCCCTGAACAGGGCTGCCTTCAGATGTCTTCTGAATGTCAGGTAGATGTTTATCGTTTTGACATCTGATGGGAGGGCGTTCCACAGGGTGGGTGCCACTACCGAGAAGGCCCTCTGCCTGGTTCCCTGTAACTTGGCCTCTCGCAGTGAGGGAACCGCCAGAAGGCCCTCGGAGCTGGACCTCAGTGTCCGGGCAGAACGATGGGGGAGGAGACACTCCTTCAGATATACTGGACCGAGGCCGTATATAAATGTTAATAATAATAATAATAATAATAATAATAATAATAATAATAATGTGTGTTTGGCTCACATTGCTGCTGTTCCTCCTCAGGCAGCAAATGGAGCTGTATCCAACATTAACCCTACTCAAAGCAGACCCATTGAAATTAATGGATATGGCCAACTTAGGCCTGTTAATTTAAGCGACTCTTCTCTGAGTATAATCGAAAGCCCATTATCTTGGGACATGAATGTTTTTCATTTCCCTGAAAGCCCCTTTTGCACTTGGGGAAAAGAAAGCTCATTGGATAACCTTTCTCCCTGCCCTATTAAAAGCACAGAAAAACCCTTAACTATCTGGGGTCAGCCTCCCTGTTTTCAAAGATGGTTGCACAGGCATGCATGTTTCCAAGAGACAAACCCATTTTTCATGCTGCACCTCAGAAATGCATGGCAACGCTGAACTGCACCTGGCAAAGACGAGAATGCAAAGGTTGCTTTGAAGAGAGACCTCTCTCTTCCTCCATTTGCAATAATTGCGATCACATCCTGAAGGCAGTACTGAAGGGGAACAGAGCCACTGCGCAGCCTTAAAGATCGCTGCTGTATACCTCAGCTGTGTTGGAACTGGACTGATCTTCTGGAACCATTCGCTGGCCTGTGGAAATGTGCAAATCTTCATGTTCCACCGGCCGGCTGCCTAGCGCCCAGGATTTACCATCCTCGCCGGTGCCGTACGACTCCACATATATCCTGCGGATGCTTGGCCTCAGTTCCTGGTATTTGCCTTTGCCTTCTTCCGGGAGGCTCGTAGCGTGAGGTAAGAACGTGCTGCGTGGACAGTCGATGGAGATGCTTATCTGCTCGCTGCCAGAGGTAGGCTCTTGCGAGAACTCCATAGCTCGTGTGAGATGTGGAGTATACAGACCTTCGGAGAGGGAGATGGACTGGCTCTCGCTGTGAACGCGCAGCCAGCGATGGTGCCTGCTGAAGTAGCTGGAGTGCTGATGCTTTCCGTGTTTCTTCTTGCCCAAGAAGCTCAAGGGTTGCCTCAAGCCGGCTGACTTTTCTGTGCATTTTGGGGAAAGCCCTCCTCCCAGCGACAGGCTTTGCAGGTGCTCCTTAGACTGATCGATGTCAGCCTCCAAGGTATCGCCCCCTCTCAAGTTCTGTTTGGGAGTCAAGCAAGGCTTGATGTCGTGGATCTGGAGAACGTCCGGCGCGCTGCCGCTCAGGCAGCTCACGGCCTGGTGGGATATGTCCTGCGAGGACGAATAGACCAAATCCAGCTCCCTCGGGCTCAAAGCATCGCTAGAGTCATAGTCGCTGTCGGTTGGAAGGAAAACTTCCGAGCAGCCTTCTTCGTCCGAGTACGGCTGGGAGTCTGCAAACAAGAGGAGGAGAATGGATGAGCCACTGGCAGGCTGTACACCCAATACAGTCGTACCTTGGTTTCCAAACAACTTAGTTCACAAACAACTTGGAACTCGAACGCCACAAACCCAGAAGTAGGCATTCCGGTTTGTGGACTTTGTCTCGGCAGCCGAACGTCTGGCGTGGCTTCCGATTGCATGCAGGATGCTCCTGCAGCCAATTGGAAGTCGCGCGTTGGTTTCTGAACATTTCAGAAGTCGAACGGACTTCCGGAACACATTCTGTTGAAAACCAAGGTACAACTGTACATACATTAGATGCAGTAATAGGGCAAAATTTGTCAGGAGTGATACTAGCTATTTCTATAATGCTTGTAGTGTGAACAAGGGGGGACATGGGTGGCACTGTGGTCTAAACCACAGAGCCTCTTGGGCTTGCCGATCAGAAGGTCAGCGGTTCGAATCCCCGTGACGGGGTGAGCTCCTGTTGCTTGGTTCCTACTCCTGCCAACCTAGGAGTTCAAAAGCATACCAGTGCAAGTAGATAAATAGGTACCACTGTGGCTGGAAGGTAAACGGTGTTTCCATGCACTCTGGTTTCCATCATGGTGTTCTGTTTTGCCAGAAGCGGTTTAGTTATGTTAGCCACATGTCTGGGAAAGCTGTCTGTGGACAAACGCTGGCTCCCTCAGCCTGAAAGTGAGATGAGCACCGCAACCCCATAGTCGCCTTTGATTAGACTTAACCGTCCAGGGGTCCTTTACCTTTACCTAGTCTGAACAGAAGTCCATATAATTTCTCCTTTGAAATATGACTATGCTGACAAACAGTTGATATGCTTTATTACAGCAGTGCTTTTTTCTGGGGGTACAAAGGGGTAGCATACCCCTAAACATTTTGTGAATCTAAGTTTGGCTTCATTGAGGGGCAGTATTTCAATATGAGTAAGAAAATGAGAGTACCCCTAAACATATTTTTTTTAGAGAAAATAGCACTGATATTATGACAGATCCTATGCTCTAGTTTCCACAAACACTAAGGCAACTAAGTTGATAGCACCTAGTGAAAAGCAGTTATGGGTTGGTTGGATTTTGCAGATTTTGCATTTATCAGTCTCTTGCAAATTGGGTTTTGCAAAAATAATAATCATGCAATTTAAATGGAATTAATTCCTTTTGAAACAATGTATGGATGGGATTTCCTGTGGTGTCACACGATATCGCCTAATGAACTCTAAAAGGGGAGGTGCTTAAGAATTTGATGAGAAGTGTGCTACCTACCCTATTTTAATAAAAAAAAAATTAGGCAGTATTTAATTTCATAGTGGAACTATTGGATTTGGTGTAATTCTGGCCTTCCTTTGTCATCTTCCCATTATGTCCATGACACTGCATCCTGGAATTGTGCCAACTGTAGGGATCTTTGCCAGTGTAGCATTCCACTGGAAAAAACCTCAGGCCCCAATGGTGTAGGGACACTGGCAATGGTATATATCTAATGTAATGGGCTTCCACCAAATCCTAGAACTCTCCTGTAAGAGTACCTGCTGCATAGCACTATGCTTTAGTGTTTGAAATATTCGCTTAAAAGTGTACACTGCGAATGGGGCAAGTACATGCTTGTAGATACATGTACCATACAGGTATATATATTTTTTGTCATGGAGATGTGATTGGCTGTGGCTTCTTGTTCCTTGTATACTCTCTGGCAAATCCAGGATTGCTGCAGCATAAATCACCTCAAGTATTTGAACGGCTTCCCCAAAGAAACTTGTGGACTGTTTCTGAACCGTCAGACCCAAGAGTTTAGATCAGAGATGAACTTTTCTTTACTAAGTTGGGCCTGTACAAACTACAGCAGGAATAGCCAATGGGGTTCCAAATGTTTCGGACTACAACTCCCATAATTCCTGACAACTGCCCATATTGGCTGCAGCTGATGGGTGTTGTAGTCCATTTTGAGGGCACCATGTTGGCTACCCTTGCTGCAGATTCTTGACAACGCAACTTCAAAGGGGTGAGCCAATTACAGTTTTTTTGCTCTATAAGACTCACCTTTTCCCTCCTAAAAAGCAAGGGGAAATGTGTGTGCGTCTTATGGAGCGAATGCAGGCTGCGCAGCTATCCCAGAAGCCAGAACAGCAAGAGGGATTGCTGCTTTCACCACGCAGTGATCCCTCTTGCTGTTCTGGCTTCTGAGATTCAGAATATTTTTTTTCTTGTTTTCCTCCTCCAAAAAGTAGGTCTTGTGGTCTGGTGCGTCTTATAGAGCGAAAAATACGGTAATTAGCTTTCCTTTCTGCTATCTCCAAACTCACCTCGGATATGTTGCTTCCTGCTGGAACAAGTCTGGGCAAGTCTCTCCTTATGTTCCATATTTGGTTGCCAAGGCATTATCTTGGGTAATCCTTAACTTTTAAGGTAAAAGGGTTATTAGGAGTATATTGATAAGAAGATGATTACTAAGGTGGGCTCTTAACTTTCTATCTTTTCTTAAGTATAGCCTACAGAGACAGCCTTCAAGAGTGGAGCTATCTAGGTTGACTTAGCTGCCAACAAGTCTAAAGCACTTGAAATTCAATTTACCGTATTGGTCTGAATATAAGCCTCACTTTTTTCCTAAATTCCGACCATGAAAAGTTAAAGTGTGGCTTATATTCGCCCCAGTATGCAGCCAAGAGCAGAGAGGAAGGCAGCAGCTCATATTTGGGTATTTATTCCCCCCTCCAATTTTAAAGGTGTTGCTTATATTCGGGTACGGCTTATATTTGGGTCAATACGGTATGAGCTAAAATGGTGTGTTCACAACGTCTAGTATCCAGATTTTGACTTGTTTAGAGTAGACCCATTGAAAGGGACAAATTCATTCATTCAGGTCAGCAGACACCAATGGACCACCTAGGCCAGGCATCCCCAAACTTGGCCCTCCAGCTGTTTTGGGACTACAGTTCCCATCATCCCTGAGCACTGGTCCTGTTAGCTAGGGATGATGGGAGTTGTAGTCCCAAAAGAGCTGGAGGGTCAAGTTTGGGGATGCCTGACCTAGGCTGATGGAGTCATCCTGGAGCCTGAGAGAACATCATTGACATGGGAAGTCTGTAGTTCTGACTAGATAACCACAAGAGGCAGCAGAACACAGGTCCAAAGGTTCCTTCTTAGTTCTGGCCTTGCTGTTCCTGAGGCTCATCTCTTTATAACCATTTGTGTTTTGGGATCCTTTTTACTTCTTCATTACTCCGATCTCTGTTGGCTACTGCCTGTCCTTCCAATTAGCCAAAAATCTCTTTTCTTTGCAGCATTAGATAATCTACCAAACTCTTTAGTTCAGTGATAACCACCTGATGTTACCAGCCTTGCTTAATTTGATTTTTGTAAAGATGTTGTTCCCTTGCACAAAGCATCTGAGTGCAGTTGAAGAATGCTAGCTAATCGCTAGACCCATGCTGCAGAGAAGCATAGCTGTCAACTTTTCCCTTGCGAGGAATCCTATTTGGAATAAGGGAATATCCCTTTAAAAAAAGGGAAACGTTGACAGCTATGCAGATGAGTCATCTGTCCAAACTGCAAAAGAAGGCCAGAGGAGCAGAGAGGTGATGTGAAGACAGGAGAGGTGTCAAAGGCTGGAAGGAAAATGAACCCACAACCCTCCCTCCCATTGATATTTATTTTTTAATTTCTCCATGAACCTTAAGCTCTGAGCTGCAACATACTAGGAGACAAAGCAGAATTCTACTTCCAGGATGAAGAAGGCCAACACTGAGCTGGAAGGCAATGTAAATAGTTGGCCCTGAGATTATTTAGCCATCTCCACAGGCATCTTGACATCTCTGTGGCAAGTTTTGCACTCCCGACCTGTATCATTTAGCAGAACTCACCATGTGAAAAGTGCCCATCAGTTTCCTCATTCCCCCACATGGAATGGACAATCTCACTGTATAATGGGCAGCATTTGTGTGAGGGACCCTAAAAAAATGGTACAGCTGTGGCTGGTGTTGGTGTGTGATCTACATGCCAGATGTGTGGACTGGATCTCAGTATTCTATCGTTGTGTTTGCAAATGGCTAAAAGCAGGCTTCCTCACTCTGCTTTTAGCCATTTGCCTGTGGCTAATAATAATAATAATAATATTTTATTTATATCCCGCCCTCACCAGCCAAAGCCGGGCTCAGAGCGGCTAACAATAGTAAAATAGTACAGCATTCTAAAATCAATTCATTATAAAATCAGTTCAAATCAAATTGATGGCAACCATTGGGCTAGAGTTCTGTGAGGATTGCCAGAGGAGGGGGTCAGGCTGTGCCTTGGCCAAAGGCCTGGTGGAACAGCTCTGTCTTGCAGGCCCTGCAGAAAGATGTCAAGTCCTGCAGGGCCTTAGTCTCTTGTGACAGAGCGTTCCACCAGATCAGAGCCACAGCTGAAAAAGCCCTGGCTCTGGTTGAGGCCAGCCTAACCTCCCTGTGGCTCGGGACCTCCAAGGTGTTTTTGTTTGAAGACCGTAAGGTCCTCTGTGGGACATACCAGGAGAGGCGGTCCCGTAGGTACGAGGGTCCTAGGCCATATAGGGCTTTAAAGGTTAAAACCAGCACCTTAAACATGATCCTGTACTCCACCGGGGGGCCAGTGCAGCTGGTATAGCACCGGGTGAATGTGATCCCACGGCAAGGACCCCGTAAGGAGTCTCGCCGCGGCATTCTGCACCCGCTGGAGTTTCTGGGTCAGCCTCAAGGGCAGTCCCATGTAGAGTGAGTTACAATAATCCAGTCTGGAGGTGACCATTGCGTGGATCACAGTGGCTAGGTCAGGGCGAGAGAGGTAAATATAAACACAGGCAACCTTATGGTTGCTGGGCAAGTCATAACCTACGATGCCCACATGCTTCTGAATGAGACGTGATGGAGAATTTTGCCTTGTTCTTGCCTAGACCGAAGGGGAGTAAAAAGCTTTTCCCTTACCGCTCAAGACTTTTCTCCGGTGGGTCTCCATCTCTGGCGAGGGTGGCGGGGATGGAAGACAATCGAGGTGAGACGATGTTGAACTTATCTTCTTTTGGATGGGTTCTTCTGACAGATCCACAATTTTCGCTACCGGCAAGCCGGCAGGCGGCTGTCTGTACCGTGCGTATTGTAGTGCTTCATTGATCCATCTCATTTCACGCCAGATCTCATCGATTTGCTATGTGACGAAGATGGTGCAGATATATATATATTTAAAAACAACATTGGGTTTATGTATGACAAGTTTAAATAGATACCTCATTGTTAATTACAAGAGAAGTGTAATGATGACTGGCAGTTCCTATAGCTTTAAAGGGGGTAAGGAAATCTGTCATTGATGTGGTTCAGCCTCCCCTGATCTCTGAGATGAATAGTCTTCTTGTACTCCCAGAATTATTGCTGTGCCTCAGCCATCAATTTTCTGACAGAGGGCGATTTTTGCCAACTTCTTCTGGCAAGAAAGGTACAGCTTTTCTTTCTTGCTGGGACTTGGCGAGAACAATTCCCGATTCTCTAACATTCCCGATTCTTTACTACAGCCATGCCCAGTGTGGCTAGGGCAACCCAGTCAGATGGGTGGGTATAAATAATAAAATTGTTGTTGTTGTTACTCATAGAATCATAGGGCTGGAAGGGACCCCAAGGGTCTTCTAGTCCAATCCCCTGCAATGCAGGAATCCCAGCTAAAGCATCCATGACAGATGGCCACCCAACCTCCGAGGAAGGAGAGTCCACCACCTTCTGAGGGAGACCGTTTCATGGTCAAACAGCTCTTCCTGTCAGAAGGTTTTTCTGTACGTTTAGTTGGAATCTCCTTTCTTTTAACTTGAGGCCATTGGTTCGAGTCCTACCCTCTAGAGGAGAAAATAAGCCTGATCCATCTTTCATGCGCAGCCCTTAAGATATTTGAAGATGGCTATGATATCTCCTCTCAATCTCCTCTTTTTCAGCTCCTTCGACTGTTCCTCATAAGGCTCGGTTTCAAGACCTTTGATCATCTGGGTTGCTTTCCTCTGCACACATTCCAAGCTTGTCAACATCCTTCCTAAATTGTGGTGCCCAGAACTGGACACAGTATTCCAGGTGTGGTCTGACCAAGGCAGAATAGAGTGGTACTATTACTTCCCTTGATCTGGACACTAGACTTCTGTGGACTATACTTCTTATGTCCTCTGCATCAGGGAAAGGGAACCCATGGCTTCTGAGCTGCTATTAGACTACAACTCCCATCACCCCCAACCATTGGCTCTGCCGGCTAGTGTTTATGGGAGTTGCAGTCCAACAATATATGGAGGGCCACAAGTCCCTTACCCCTGCTCTACCTTGTGCTGTCTTTGAAGAGTGCTCATAGGCTGCTACTATGGTAGAACACACAGACCTAGAAGGATGCTCTGCCGGGATAGAACTAATTGTCAGAAGGAAGCAAAATATGGACCATCAATTTTGTTAGTTGCCAAGTCAAGAACAAGTAAGACTGTCCTGCAAACGGTACTATCTGTGTACCAGCATCATGGGAACATCACCAAATTGCAACACCAAAGGGAAGAAATCAAGGAGATATTCTTGGTAGCTGCTCAACCTTTCTGGATTTCCTAACCCCTTGGAGCCAAAATCAGAGCACATATTGGGATATGTGAAGTCCAGAAGACCAGTTGGGAGTGGCCAGAGGGAATGGCCATCCCTACAACCCCATAGTGGGCTGCTGTTTTGCAGGACAGCAGCTGTGTGAATGAACTGGCCCAGTGCTGAGCAAACATTTGGTTCGGTGATTAAGTGTGTGTGTCTGAGAGATAAATCATGGGGAGTTGCCATCCTGTTTTGATTGGCATATTATTCGCAGTAACTCCTCCCAACCCTGCTTGATTGTTACCCAGTCTGACCCAATATATTTAATGAAGCTTAAGTATGGACCCTTGTTTCTGTCACCGACACAGCTCTAAAGGAACATTATGCTAATAGCCCAGTCATACGAGCCATGCTTCTCGCAGAGTGCCTGACACATTACTGTACATATAAATTATAACTTAATTGCCATTTCAGCTCCAGATATTCAGCTTAGCTCGGGTCAATCCTGAAATACCCCTTTTCTCGCTGCCCAGCAGCCTGTTTCAGACACAACATACCTTATCTACGGCATATAATTTTTACTTTCTGGTTTCTCTCCAGCTCCCATTTCAGAACAGCTTTTATGGACTCCCTTTGCTCTTTACAATGTTTGGTTTGTGTAGTGACTTCAGCACTGTCTCAGATCTAGGATCATACAAATGCTCTTGTGGTTTTGCGGTCGCCGCTGAAGATTGCGGTATGTGCTGGGCCAAAAGTCCCTCCCTCCCCCCAATAGGTGGAATACAGCTGGTTTTAGTTTGGGAAGGAACCTGACAAGTCTAATACACTGTCACAATAATTCGGTACAAAACACTGTGGTTTGAAAGGCTCTGCTACATTTTCATCCATTACGAACAATCACGAAACCTACAGCTTGAGTCACTGTCTTCTCTAAGAAGTGCTAGGCTGAGGCCACAACAGACCCTTTGTTTGAATCCTTAATATTTTCTATTTCATTTTTTAAAAAATTCTCAATGTCCCTATAAATCATGCTTTGCGAGAATTGTGACTCCTAACCTTCTACGGTACATACTCTCTCATTTTGTAATGATTGCAGGCACTTTTGGCCCGGGATTTGGTGTTTTTTGTTTTGGTTTTTTGGAGCAATAACAAATTTACGCACAGCCAGCTGCTCACCTCTCTTACATGCTGCTATGTTTTCTGAAATCGGGAGGAAAAATGGTGGCTGGCCACCATGAAATGAGTCTGTGGGACTGTAAACCTACTGGGATAGTTCAGGTTCATGGTTAGAGGGGGACTACGTATCTATTGAAATGAGGATGTTACTGGTGATGATTTGTGAACATGTGGATTTGGTATAATCAGATTCACATACACAAATTAAAAACGATTAAGACTTATGCTGAAGGTACGTGTGAGAGGTGGGCCAATGTTAAGCATCTGCGCCCAAGATCTGCACTTTTTGAAGTATTAACTTCAGCATTAAAAACGTAAGTGAATGAATGAATAAGGAAGGACTTGAAAATTGGGACAGGGCATAAAATTAGGCACAGCTGTCTCAGCTACTAGAAGCATCTGCTAATATAAATTATGCAAGAAACAAAAAAAATTCAAAAGGTTGGAAAATGGTGGTGAGATGTACAGGACCACTTGGGTCCTAGGTTTTGTATCCTGAACTCTGCTGAACTCTATTCCAGGAGTGGAATACTTGTCTCTCATCAGATGCTGTTGGCCTCCAACTCCCATCATCTTGGACCACTGCCCATGCTGTCTTGGGATGATGGGAAATGGAGCTCAGCTATGTCTGGAGGACTGTAAGTTCTTTGCCTTCTTCAGTCCCAGAATTCTCTCCATTCTAATGGTAAACACAGAGAAGTATGGCAAAATTCAGAAGGATATTAGGAACCTGGAAAATTCTGGTGAATTCTAGGCATGTCTACTCAGAAGTTAGCCTCATTGAGTTCAATGGGGCTTACTCCCAGGAAAATGGGATTGCAGTCAAGGCGTGGGATCATATCCACAGGGTCATCCATACGTACAGCATTATACTGCTGCTAGAGTTTCTAGTCATAATTCGGTGATCGTCGTGCAAACCCCACAGTTGTAGAAACTGCCTAAATTGCACCAGTATTGTTCCAACAGGCCTTTATAGGAACTGATTGGAAAAGGCTAGTGTTGTGATGTTCTGTCTTGTTATATGTATTTTTACTAGCTCTTTTTATTAGGATCAGTTTAGTTAGTGTTCAGCTGCTTTTAAATGACTTTTCCTTTCTACGTTTCGAGCTTGTTCTGTTATATCTGTAAGCTGCATTGAGTCCCGGTCTGCATTGAGTCCCGGTCTGGGAAGACGGCGGGATACAGATAAACAAAGTGAAATAAAATAAAATAAATAAATAAACCATAGCCAGAGTAACCCCAGTACGTTTATATCAAGTCCTAAATGAAACTAAGGGCCAGTACACACTACCCCCATATGATACAGTGATTTGAATTAGCAGCATTTCAGTTTGTGCTATTGTACTGGGAACTAGGCACTAGGTAAGGTTTGCAAATCGAACCACATTTCCCCTGCCTTCCACTAATTAACAAGGGTTGTAACAAACCGAGAAGATCTCTGCCTAAGCTGCTACTGAACTGAATGGAAGCCATCTAAGAGCAAAGCACTGGTCCATTTTAAGGGTGCTGGGGGACACGTGGCGTAGCATCGGGGGGCCACGGGGGCAAAATTGTTAGGGGCATGGAATGTCAACACTCAGTGCTGCCTCAGTGCAGCTGTGGGCTTCCGTTGCCCAGCTCTCTTGAAAACAGCTTTTCCATGCAAACCAGGAGTGACCTCTCCAGACAATGGAATGGCTCTTTTTTCCTTATCTCTGCAGCTGCGATCTCCTGGATGACGTGGACACCATTAGGCAGCTAAATGCGCATGCGTTCTCTGTCCGTTTCCCTCCCTCCCTCCTGCTCTGTGTGGCTCCGGGCACTGGCAACCCACGCTACACCACTGCTGGGGGAGGACAGCTTCCTGGCGAACGGTGCCCCATACCTGATCTGTTTGCCTCCCACCCCACCACCTTCATGGGTCCCCCAAATCTCTTGCCTAACCCAGCTGCTGCTTCACATCACCTCACGGTAGGGCCGCCTCTGTCAAAAGAAACAGTTGTTGGCAGGGTGTGCATGTTTCATTGCAGACTGACAGTCGAGTGGTGGTGGGGCCTTGTGACATTAAGAGAAGAAAGGCTACGACCCAGCCTAAATTGAGTTTTTTCTTTTGCTCATATTAGAGAGGTAGGGGTGGGAAATGGGATTTATAACCCAAACTGACACGCTTCTCTGCAACACTCCAGTATAACTGTCATATGATTTTATCCATGAAATTCTCTCAGAAAGCAAGCAAGGGGAAAGCGGGGTGGGGTGGGAGGGAAGAGCTGCAGAGTGGCTATTCATAAAACCCAAATTGTATTTTGACACTAAACGTCTTATGCTGTGCCTTTGCCCAACAATTCTCCCATTTAGGTTCCAAATACAGCCCCTGCTAGAAATCACCTTTGACTAGTCGGAAAAAACAGACCGGTTACCTGTGTGTAATCTAGGACTTGCTGGTGTCTTTGTTTAGCTGCAGCGGACTTCACTGTCTGAAAATTGCTTCCCTTAGGGATTGCTGGGTGCTCAGAAAATCTAGCTCTAATGACAGCGGAAAGGCGGCAATACAGACTAATAAATTCTCCTTGTAACTGCAAAAATGAACTGTGAGACAACAAAGCACAGAAGCAAGTGTGTTAGAAAGACACACACACACACACACACACACACCACACACACACACACACACACCACAGGCAGCTCTCAAAAGCCTCACCTTCTGAGGATCTTGAAAGAAATAATTGTCATTGCTTGTGTTTATCCCAGAAAACAAGTGTTTTATATATCTATATTTAAAAGGTTATAATTCCAGAGGAGGAGCAGCGAAAGCTACAAAGAGTCTTGTGGTACCTTGAGTTTAAAAGATCTAATAGTGGACTAAGCTTTCAATGGACCTGGTGCTTCAGCAGAGTGCCATTCCATGACATATTGTTCCTGGTTAAGGTATTTATGGTCAGTCCAGTGGATTTGGGCATATGACAGGGAAGACTTGGTCCCACAACCTTTCCAATAATTTCTTGTCCATGTACCTGGGGATGCTGACCAAGTCTATTTTGTCTGTCCCTGTAACACACTGAGAAGTTGATGGGGTGGTGTGGGTGGAAATCTAGAGCTCCCCCAAACCCCAGAATTAGCTACAATCACATTCCAAAATAAACACATCCTTGCACATGAGCAAAGACTGCATAACAATGGAGCTGGCCCTCAGTCCTATGGTTAGGGTCGTGGGCAGATGGTTCTTCATTTGTGCCTTTTTTAAAAAAAATGGAAGTGACTAGGATTGACCAGGGATCTTCTGCATGCAAAGGCACATGAGCCCTTCTCTTTTATAACCGCAAGTATTTTTAGACATTTCATGTGGATAATGATCTAATGATGCCTGGACATTCTGAGTGCATGTTGGCCAAAGTATTGCTCTCTCTATTGTTGACATGCTATCTATCCATCATCTATCTATCTATCTATCTATCTATCTATCTATCTATCTATCTATCTATCTATCTATCTATCTATATCTATCTATCTATCTATCTATCTATCATCTATCTATCTATCATCTATCTATCATCTATCTATCTATCTATCTATCTATCTATCATCTATCTTCTATCTATCTATCTATCATCTATCTATCTATCTATCTATCTATCTATCTATATCTATCTATCTATCTATATCTATCTATCTATCTATCTATCTATCTATCTATCATCTATCTATCATCTATCTATCATCTATCTATCTATCATCTATCATCTATCTATCTATCTATCTATCTATCTATCTATCTATCTATCTATCATCTATCTATATCTATCTATCTATCATCATCTATATCTATCATCTATCATCTATCTATCTATCTATCTATCTATCTATCTATCTATCTATCTATCTATCTATCATCTATCTATCTATCTATCTATCTATCTATCTATCTATCTATCATCTATCTCTATCTATCTATCTATCATCTATCTATCTATCTATCTATCTATCATCTATCTATCTATCTATCTATCTATCATCTATCTATCTATCTATCTCTATCTATCTATATCTATCTATCTATCTATCATCTATCATCTATCTATCTATCTATATCTATCTATCTATCATCTATCTATCTATCTATCTATCTATCTATCTATCTATCTATCTATCATCTATCATCTATATCTATATCTATCATCTATCTATCTATCTATCTATCTATCTATCTATCATCTATCTATCTATCTATCTATCTATCTATCTATCTATCTATCTATCTATCATCTATCTCTATCTATCTATATCTATCTATCTATCTATCTATCTATCATCTATCTATCTCTATCTATATCTATCTATCTATCATCTATCTATCTATCTATCTATCTATCTATCTATCTATCTATCATCTATCTATCTATCTATCTATCTATCTATCTATCTATCATCTATCTATCATCTGTCTTTGGCTGTGTTAAATTCGTGCTTCTCTTGTGGGCTGTTAACTTCTCCTCCAAAGATACACCTCTTTCCCAGGAAAATCATGGTAGCATTTTGAAACAGATGTGTTGGAAGTGTTGGCACTATGAAGCCTCACTCCTGCAAGTGCTCCTTTAAGGCAGGGATGGAAAACTTTTTTGTTTACTCCTGTGGAAAGCACGTGGTGGGCAGCGCGGTGGTGGTCAGAAGCTGCTTGGTGCGTTGGAAGGAGCGTGGCCTCACATGGGGAGAAATGACTTTTCCTCTGCAAGCCACCCTCCATATCACCATTGCAGGAGAGGGCAAAATTCAGTAACATTTTGTAGTGGCTTTGGCACCTGAGTGGGCTGCGGCGAAGACCTCTGAGGGTTGCATATGACCAACAAGCAGCAGTTAGCCGCATGTGCTTGAAGGGGACCAAAGGTGCCAACCTGTGCCGGTGTCATCCACATGTGTGCCATCACATTGCAACATCATGAGCAGCCAGGGTCTCCTTCCACAGCAGCAGGAGGATTAAGAATGGCCATGAAAACCATGCAGTGCTTGGCTCCATGTTCAGCTTCTCTGCCCTCTGTTTGTTTGAAACATTGGGGGCAGCCCCTCCAACAAATTATTGAGGAGTCCCAACATAGCTCGGCCCCCACGAGATGGCACCCCTGAAGTGAACAGCACAATGTGGGGCTACCTTTGAAGGTGACCCAGAAACTACAACTAATCCAGAATGCTGCAGCTAGACTGGTGACTGGGAGCAGCCGCCGAGAAGCATTGCCACTTCCAGCCATGCAAGCAGAGCAGAGCTGCACTGGCATCCTCAACATCCTCACAGTTAAAAGAAGAGCCCGCTCTTCAGAATTTGGTTTGTGGTTTTTTAAACTGACCCCCCTTGCATTCTGCCTGATGAAGAGTTCGAAAATATGCAGACTTTCATTACATCTACAGAAGCTGGCCCAATTAAAAATATCACCTTACCTATAATACTTGCCGATCGGAAGGTCGGCAGTTCGAATCCACTCAACAGAGTGAGCTCCCGTTGTTCAGTCCCAGCTCCTGCCAACCCATCAGTTCAAAAGCACACCAGTGCAAGTAGATAAATAGGTACCACTGTGACGGGAAGGTAAATGGTGTTACTGTGTGCTCTGGTTTCCGTCACGGTGTCCTGTTGCGCCAGAAGCAGTTTAGTCATGCTGGCCACATGACCTGGAAAGCTGCCTGTGGACAAACGCCGGCTCCCTCGGCCTGAAAGCGAGATGAGCGCCGCAACCCCATAGTCGCCTTTGACTGGACTTAACCATTCAGGGGTCCTTTACCTTTACCTAGTTTGGTATACCTTTCTGAAAAAAAGGATTTTGAATTCTGAATTCCCCCCACCCCTCATGGAACTGAAAAAGAAAGCCCAAGAATTGAATCAGAAGGACTTCCAGCCCCTCCTTCTTGCCCATGCAGCTTTTACCAGGTGTATATTCTTTCCCATGTAGGCAATCAAATTTTCTCTTAGCACATCACTAGTCGAACAGTATCCCTGTCTTCCCAGAATAATGCAAGGTGTGTGTGTGTGTGTAATGCTAAGTTGGTTGCACAGAGGAAATAGCTGCATTTGCATGCCTCAAAAGTGACTTTTTGCATCATTTTTCCTTCCAGGCAATCAATACTGCAGTTGGATGGTTTATCAATGCTTTTGCAGGGAATGGGTTTATTTTTGCAGGAGCCATTGGCACTACTTTTGCACTGCATGCTCATTCCCCGTGTTATCCAATTTTCACAGCATGCTGCAATGGCAGCAACGTATATAAATGACTTTTTAAAAGGTGAACATGGAGGAAAACAGGGCAATCTGTGGGGATTATTAGCCTTATTAGGCAAATGTGTAAATTGCGTGATAAGAGAAAGGGCTCAGTTGCATCAGAACTGCAGTTCTGGAAGGAGCAGCAGGGAACTTTCCCATTCCATCAGTGAAAGGATTTCTGCTTGTCTGACAGGACGTCCTCCCTCTCTCCCCCATGTACATGTCCCCAAGTCTGTCTCAGATGGTTGGGAGAACCCCTAGAAGAGATTTAAGGGGGTGCATGTGGACAGGGAGAGGCAGAGAACATTCCATTTCACAAGCAGAAATCCCTACAATGATGGAAAGTTTGTCATAGTTGCAACCAGGGTCACCAACACGCTCTGCTTATGAACTTCAACAAGACATCTGTCTGGCCAGATCTCTAACTCAGTGTGCGCAGTACTTTAACACTGATCCCTAACCCAAGGTGGCAATGCATGGAAAAACCGATGAATGCCCTCAATAATTGTTACTAATCTTACTGCCATATTCCGAGTGAACCCACTGAAATCAATGGACTTAAATGATTTAAATCAATTAATTTCAATGGTTCTGTTCTGAGTATGAAACCGGCTATGGCCCACAGAAATGCAATTAACTACCCTCACATTTCCTTGTTGCATTGTTTCAAAAGCCTGCCAAACCTATTTGACCAGAGATGGTGCGTAAAACCAACAAAGAGGTGCATGCTCTGGTTATCTTCTGCTTGGACTACTGCAATGTGCTCTACAGAAACTACAACTAATCCAGAATGTGGCAGCTAGACTGGTGACTGGGAGTGGCCGCCGAGACCACATAACACCGGTCCTGGAAGACCTACATTGGCTCCCAGTACATTTCTGAGCACAATTCGAAGTGTTGGTGCTGACCTTTCAAGCCTTAAACGGCCTCGGCCCAGTATACCTGAAGGAGCATCTCCACCCCCATCGCTCAGTCCAGACACTGAGGTCCAGCACTGAGGGCATTCTGGTGGTTCCCTTACTGCGAGAAGCAAAGTTACAGGGAACCAGGCAGGGGGCCTTCTCGGTAGTGGCGCCCGCCCTGTGGAACGCCCTCCCATCAGATGTCAAGGAAATAAGCAACTACTGTACAGTGGTACCTCGGTTTAAGAACTGTCCTGTTTAAGAACGATTTGGTTTATGGACTCTGCAAAACTGGAAACAGTGTCCCAGTTTGCAAA